AGGTATGAAATCTTCAACTGGCCAAAACAATTATGGATATCTGATGAAGACTGAGGCAGGTGGAGTATTACAACTTGGAAGAGAAAAGAATTGACTGCTAAGGAGCATGAATTACCAAAAGGAAAGACAATAGTTATGTTTTATGTTTGTGAAACTAAGAGGAAGAGGAAGAATGTAATAGAACTGAAGGGAGGTAGCCTGATTCTGTGGAATATGTATCTGAATATGCTAGGAAATAAAAGTATAGACTCCATCATAAAAGGGTTGAAATATAGGTCAGAAAGTAAGAATCTATACCACCTAGATTATTTTTATGGTAAAGGAAAGTAGAAATCTATAGGAGTCTAATAGTTGCACGTTACACTCCTGTGAACCAGGATAATGGAAATCCAATGATGAATCTGGGAAGAAAATGCAATATTCAGAATGAATACAATTCAGTGAGAAAATTATTCTTTGGGTGGCACGAATAGGTGGGTGGAACAAAAGAATATAGAAGACATGTTTAGGCTATTTGGAAATCCTAGAATGAGTATGCTGACTATTTAGAGAGTATATACTCAGAAAAAGACCTGTTTGTTTTGCATATATGGGTTAAGCCTCAACCTATTCATTTTCAATTCATGTAAATGAAAAGGCAATGCATAGAAAAGAATGGTTTGTTTCAATTTTATAATGAATGGAAAGAAGTATACAGGAGGGCTGAATGTAAGACAGACCATTATTTAACAGCCTCAAAAAGTGGATTGAGGAGGAGGAGGAAGAGGAGGAGGAGGAGGAGGAAGAGGAGGAGAGGGAGAAGGAGTAGTTGCTTGGAACTATAGTATGTTACAGAGTGTCACAGAGTGTACTAAAGGGAAGGACAAAAATGAATGAAAAGAATGACATTATAAAATAAAAGGGGACGTACAATATATGTGTGTTGCATGAGTGTGCATGTATATATATAAATTGGTGCCAAAATTAAGGATAAAAGTAAAATACTGCATTATGTGCATAGATAGAAAAAATGTCAAAGAGTATGTCAAAGAAAGCAAGGAACATTAAGCTTAAAACAGACGGAGAAAATGCAGAGCAAATTTTGATGGAATTTTTTAAAAATGTAATGAATATGGGTTAAAAAGGCTAACCAAGGAGCACCAGCAAAGTGAATAGAGATAAAAATAAAAACGATGAAATTATAAGGATATTGTGAGAAATGTTAATCATCTGAATTTAATCTTGCTAAAAGGTTCTATGCTTGCTGATTATCCAGGAGAATTTTCTCATTGGTTTGGGTCTGTTCCCTCCCTAATAGATTATATAATAATTTTGTAAAAAAAAAAATCCCATCCCTTTTATTCAAAATATTTTTATAGCTAGTATAGCTGATGGTGAACATTTTCCAGGAATTTTATTTATTCAAGTTCCTGATATATTATTTTTTTTTTCAATATTTTATTCATTTTTATAGTCACAAATGCTTAATATTTTATCAGCAACGTATTGTCTGGGTTTCAATATTTAGCTTACTAATATATGTTAAACTCCTTTCTCTCTACCTCGTTTTTCTAGCCATTGATAAAATGTATCCCATGTTCTAAAATATTCTGAATCTTCTTTCTCTTTCATTTTCAGTGTCAGTCTGTCCATTTCTGTACAGTCTAAAATTTTCTTAATTATCTCTTCCTCCGCTGGTTATTCTTCATCTTTCCAATGCTGAGCAAATATAATTCTTGCTGCAATTAACGCATGTAACATTAGGTATACACATTCCTTCTCATAATTTCCTACAATTATACCTAACAAAAATAATTCTGGCTTAAAATCTATGTGTTTTTTAGTCATTTTTTCTAACCATATATGTATTCTTGACCAAAATCTTTTGGCTTTAGGGCATGTCTACCAAAGATGATATGTGCCTGGTTTTTGTCTACATTTCCAACAATTACTAGACATATTTTTAAACATTTTCGCTAACCTCATAAATGTTAAGTGCCATCTGTAAAACATTTTATATAGGTTTTCTTTGTAAGCTACCACCTTTGTTATTTTAGAATTTCTTTCCCAAAGGTTTTGCCAGTTTTCTAACTCTATGTTATGCCCAAGGTTTTTTTGCCTAATATATTATTTCTTGATTTGACCCCTATTATCATGGAGGAAGGTGACCTTTGCCCTATCCATATGAAATGGGCACCCCAACTGGGAGAAATGATTTGTAACATTTTAAAACCTGATGCAGCTCAGTTGTCATCTGCTCTGGGGAGCCAATTTCAAGCCATCAACCTAATGTAATCCAGCTCCTTCGGCCTGGTGTTATAGCAGCCACAGCCCCACAGTCCAGAGATCAGATTTTTCACACAGAGAATTGGTTTGACTTAGATTGCCTCGAAGCTAAAAGACCTCTAACCGGGCTTTCTAACAAACCCATGAAAGATCCTTTTCGTATATTCTACACATGATCTGTTACTCTAAAATGGCAGTGCAAGTAACTATGTCCTAAGAAGAAAAGGGAATTATTTGGGATGGAACTGAAATGAGAGGATAGGGAAAGAAGTATTTTAAAATTTTGTAGAAGTAATACTGATATATTAGAGTGGAATAGGAATAAAAGCTGTTAATGTTAGTGCTCAGGAAAAAAACTGAAAAAAGGAAGTCATAAAAGCTATAAAAATGATGGAAAAAATGGTATGGCTGTAGCAATTGCCAGTGTTCAACACTGAACACAAAATAAAACAAAAATAAGTGATGTCCCTTTATTGTTTGATGTATTTATGAGTAAATTTGTAAGTAATGCTTCTGATGATGTTGTAGAAGCACATTGACTAGAGACAAGGTATGCATATTTTGTATACAGTATGTTATTAGCTACAAATGTGAATGATTTGCAAAAAATATTAGATAGATGTGTTAAAATAAGGAGCATAGCTTAAAGGTGGTTGTTTTTGATGTAAAAAAAATGAATTGCAAATGTTACATAAATTATAAAATCAGAACAAATAGGTGAACTTCTTCATAGAATGTTCCTAAGATGGAAAATGGAAAACTATTAAGATGGGGAAATGCTGGTAGAAAACTATTAAGCAGCATTTAGAGAAGAGCAACAAAGATGATTAGGGGACTGGAGGCTAAAGCATATAAGGAACGGTTGCTGGAATTGGGTATGTCTAGTTTAATGAAGAGAAGGATGAGGGGGGACATGATAGCAGTGTTCCAATATCTCAGGGGCTGCCACAAAGAAGAGGGTGTCAAGCTATTTTCCAAGGCGCCTGAAGGCAGGACAAGAAGCAACGGGTGGAAACTAAGCAAGGAGAGAAGCAACCTAGAACTAAGGAGAAACCTCCTGACAGTTAGAACAATTAACCAGTGGAACAACCTGCCTCCAGAAGCGGTGAATGCTCCAACACTGGAGGTTTTTAAGAAGAGACTGGACAGCCATTTGTCCAAAATGGTATAGGGTTTCCTGCCTGAGCAGGGGGTTGGACTAGATGACCTCCAAGGTCCCTTCCAACTTTACTATTATTATTATTACAATGTTTACCAGAAGAAAGAAAATAGCTATATAAGAGCTTGCTTCTGCTCATTTTGAAAGAAAAAAACATCTGACAGATTTTCTAAACGTAACAAGGTTATTTACTGATTTTATATAGTGAATCAGTTAGTTTTATAATTGCTCTTCAAGAACAGCAAGAGGAAAATTATGTCAATGAAGTTTGCACAAAGGAGTGCAATGGTAAATGATCCATTCATATAGTTATTTACATTTTTTTCTCCAAGTGTGACTTTGCTATTTTAAACAAACTTATTAACCCCCAAAAAATTAAGAAAGTTCAAACAATATGGAAAAGAACATAACATTTTAATTATTCATTCTGTTCTACTTTTAAAAAAACACTCTTGAAAACAAACTGTGGATTTTATAAAACGTTTTGAGAATACTGTTCATCTGATACAGAATATCCAAATATCCATTAGGAAAAATGGAAGAAAAAGAAGTAAGTAGATTAAAGAGTTAAAAGGTTAGAAAAAAACTAACCACTTATTGATACCTACCAATAAAACAATGCCTAAAAGTGTAATGTCAGAAAATTGACACATTTGTCAGTCTTGGAGATGCAGGAAAAATGAAGTGCCAAATGTAATTGTGAAAATTAAACATAATTCTGCTCCAAATAGATACCTGCATTAGAGAGAACCACTTTTTTACATGAATTTTCACTACAAGTAGAAGTGAGATTCCTTAATGCAAATGACTGCCATTGAAAAATAGAAAAACTCAACAACCTCCCAAGGATCATGTGAACACAACGGTCTCCTGGTGGCACAAATAGACATGGATTTAGATCTAGAGATAGAAATAGCTGAGGAAAGGAAAAGAAATCTAACCTTTTTTTAGTTTCCCACTCATCTGGTTATAAGTATTTTTCGAAAGTAATCAGAATCTAAGTTATTCAAAGTGTCCCTTCACAGATTTGCAAGTACACAGACTATGGTTCTGATACCAGTAGCCTTTAGGCTTGCACGAGACTTACAGCTTATTATTCACTCTGCCAGATTGTTCCATTGCTAGAGAACAGGACGGCAACTATTTTTTGAGGACAGGAATGGTTATCAGCCTTTCCCCATGTCCTTCCCACTGCCAGATTGTCCCACTTAAAGTGCAGATGTTCCTTATAGAGAAAGAGAGTAATCTGGACCACAAAAATCACACACAAGTAAAAGGCCTCCCATCTACACTGCCTCTTACTGCCTCTTAATTCCAAAACAAGGTTTAATTCATTTGAGTCCACTACAGATATGCACATGTAAAATGGAATAACTATGATGTGATTTTAAAAAATGTTTTTTCACATGTTAAGGATCTTACTACTGAGGCAAAGAGAACTTAGACTGAGATGACACTGGAATTGACAAGCCATTTTCTTCTTAAACTACCTTGCGTAACTGTTGTGCAAATAAAGCTGAGTTCTGGGCTTTGCCCATCCACAACTTACAGCAGCAACTGATTGTCAGAAACATACCTTTCTCATAGTCATCCTCAGCTACTGCTTTCTCCTGAAGCTTCTGAAGTTTTCTCATCAAGGATTTTATCTGTATCAATCAAAAGATCATGAGAAATATTCCTCTATGCTGCTTCAAAAAATTGTGACCTAAGCATTGCGTCTATTATCACAACAATTCAAAAGTTTTTATTTCATCCCACTTGGCCCACCCATTTCTGAAGACATTTCTGTCACCTCACATTGCACAGTCATCATTCAGAATTCAAGAGCACCCAGAATAGACATAATGATATAATGGCCAAATATATTTATATGAAGGTGTGAAAATCAGGCAAGTTTCCCATTGAAAAAATTATTCAATTATTCCCTAATTGAAAAAAAAATCAGACACAAGGCAGACTGCTTATTTTACACATCTTGAGGCTTCAACCAGGAAATCTTGTCAAAAAGTAATTAATTCCATTTAGGTAGGGCTCACCAGGAGCAGAGGCAGCATTCTGAAAGATTGGATAGGCGAGATCCCAAAAAATGGAGAAAAATATATAGCAAGGACATTGGGAGAAAACTAACATGAGATTGAAGGGCAGTAAATATTGCAAACTATTGACAAAAAGAGAGTAGAAAGGATCGAGATATTTGGAAGACAAGGAGGCATTTGAGAACTTTTGGGTGCTCCATCACTGGAGGTTTTTAAGAACAGATTGGACAGCCATTTGTCCAGAATGGTATATGGACTCCTACTTGAGTGGGGGAGGGAAGGAGGTTGGACTAGAAGATCTCCAAGATCCCTTCCAACAATGTAATTCTATAATTCTGCAACTTTTTTTTCTTACTAATTATAACCATCCAACAATATATTCATAGGCATCTTCTCAAATTCTCACTAGAAGCACCACCACCCCAAGTAAGCATTACAACAGCTATTGCATTGCTTTATGTTGAATGTCTATACCTGCTTAAAATTCTATCACACAAAATGGGCATAAAGAGTACTCTAACCTTTACTAAACATCGATTGCCCAACAAACATTCCTGTAGTACTGGTTCATACTCCTTCATCAGAAAATCCCAACTGTGGTCACTAGCAATGCCACAACTCTCATAGCCTGAAGTCACCGAAGAATCAGCAGATGTTGCCTCTAAAGAATCCATGGAAGAAGAGAATGCATTATTTGTGTGGAAAGGTGAGAGCCTCCCACAGTCCTGCAAAATGTCATCCTCGGCAGCTTCCGACAGACAGGTACCAACTTCATTGCACAGGGAGTTACATGAAGCCCACAGTTCCGTTTGTGAAATCCTTTGGACTTCTCCAGGTAGATGAAAATTAATATTTTCTGTTTTCTCTACTCCACCAAATTGCACAGTTTCTTTAGATTCCCTACTTCCTGATGCACCTGCAGTGGCTTCAGAGGCTGAATTTAGTGAGAGCTGGATAAAACTAAAATGTGAGCGAAAGGAATCTTGAAGACTGGAAGGGCCATAGGAAGTTTCTTTGTTTTCAGGCTCCTGGGTGTTGATCCATTTCTCCTGATGCTGAGCACACAATCTTTCTTTCTTTTGTGAACTAGCAGCCTCAGGAGTCTTCTCCACTGCATCTACCGGTAGCAACTTGCTTGACCATGCAGATATCTGAGGTGAGACATCTCCTTTATGGTTGATAATCGCAGGAGAATCTGACAAGATTGCTGCCTGGGCCTGAGACATTCTGTTGTATTTGTGGCAGCAGGAGGTCTAAACAGTACACCAGAAATAGAATAATCCCAAGACAGGTTCACATGGTATCTTCAAAGAACAGGAGTTAAGTTCTTGATTGTGTGCTATCTGTGTTGCTCAGAAAGTTTGGTTCACTGATAGATGGAGGATGAAATTCTATTTTCATACACACTCTGCCAGAGAGAAGTTCTCTGAGGATGGGCTCCAGCATAGGTCCAAAAGCTTGGAAGACAAAACCTCTCGGATTAGATTCTGCAAATTCTATTTCTTGTAGAACTCTGTTTCCTTTTCCACCTTCTCTTAAGAATCCACAGGTAATTAAAAATCTTGAATCTCTAAAATAAACAAAGTGGGAAAATGGTCACAAATGTATTTTTCCACATAAGAGGGCATTTTGAAACCTAATTTGAAAAACTCACCCAATACTGCATAGATTTATATCTTGTCATACTCTGTTCAAAAAAAAGCAGGGCATCAGAACTGAGGTGTCGCTGTGATAGTGACTTCAAAATTACTAATTAATAAAATGTAATGTTAATGTGATGGGAAGAGATTATTTAAAAACAGAGCTTGATGATAATAATTTAAACTATTTTTATTTTTAATAAAAATAAATAAAAGGTAATACTTGTTCAGGTATTACCACTACTTTGGAGATTTGGCCCCCAGCATATCACATAAAGACCACAGTAAATCGCCAGCCTCCTTGTTCTAATGGATTGGGCCATGTTTTTCCCCAGAAGTTTTAATTGTTCAGATTTCTGTTCAAAATTCATTTGAATCATTATCAAATGGAGCAGATGTACATCTATTTTATGCTGCTTCTTGTCATGCAAGAATTTAGACAATTTAGATAAAGAACCAATGAAACTAATTCTAAATAGTATGAATGGCAATTTTATCCTGACTGTGTGCTGCCTATAAGAGAAACTATTGTGCAAAATAAAGATTTGAAATAATGGGTTTAAATGGTGGAAGCACTGTAATATTCTGATATTTTTGGATAGTAAATCAAAGAATTATCGACACAATCTCTTTTGCTATATGTAAAGTGTGGTATTAGCATCAGTGAGATGTAAGATAAAAAGATTTTGGCTCATACACATAGACATTCCTTACTACTGAAATACAGTACATGTTGAAGCAAGGGTATTGCATTATAATAAGCTATGTTGTATTAATGTATTGTATTATAATTATCTACACATACACATACACTAACATACCTGATAGAAACCTTAGAAGTAGACTGTAACCCACAAAGTTTTGACCATTACAACAAATGGAGATGAATCAAGTTTCCTTCTTTGACTTCAGTCAATTATCTACAGAGACCAGATAAATCTATTTCTACCCAAAGCTTCAATGTGCCTCTTTGCCAACATTTTAGGGCTTTTCCAAACCTTCTGAGTATAGGAACACAAATCTGCCTTATGGAATCCCAACATGTGTTGTAAGGGATCCACAAAGATGATTTAATCTGGTAAAGACCTTTTTTAACAGCCTTAAGCTTTTATCCAGTTGGCTTCCAGGTAGTCCTAAATGCCTTCAATTTCAGACATACCACTTGCTAGGCATAAACATCCCAACCATCTCTGATTCCCCCATCATCTCAATTCATCCTTCTCAGTCTCCCCAGTTAGAGACTCACCAGGCCATTCCACCAAGTACGAGAACTTCTACAGTTCCTACCACTTCAACAATATTCTTTGTCATGTAACTCAGATGAAATGCCTCTAAGAAGCAAACAATGAACATCTGACAAACTTGAGTCATCTCCACTCTTTTGTTGTGGCTGTGATAGAAAGGGAAAAATATTGTCAGGCATCCTTTTTTTTTTTTTCCAAGTATCTTTTTCTCAACATTGCACAAATCCTCAAATCAGTCTTTCCTGATTTTCAAACACTTGGTGCTATAGAAACATCCCTTACCGAGTGCCTTCATTAGGAGAATAGCTTGCTGGATACTATCTATTCTCAAATATAAACACCAGTCAATTGAACTAAAATCCCCATTAAGAGAGCTTCAGAATCAAGTTATAGAATGAAGTCAGCAAATGAATGGATGAATTAGTGTATTCAATAAATTCAAATGCAGGCTTGCTATGAGTCAATACACAGATGCTATTCCAAAGACCGGTGTTACACAAGTTCAGTCTTGTCTTTTAAAATCACACACATCAAAAAGTAATTAAACGATTGCAGCAGTACTTTTCTTCACGTCTGTAAAATATAAGCATTCGTCCCTTTATTGTAGCTTCAAAAATTTCTTGTTCCTTTAATTTAGGTTCCCTTGAACCATGTCTTAATGGCTGCTATAATAGCAACATGCAGATTCAGAAAAATGATACTGGATATTTTGGAAGCAGGAGAAACACCAGCTGGTAAGTGGCTTCATGTTATTCACGCTACTGTAACTAGAGGAAAGCTCCTTCTGTAAGTTTCCTATTCCCAGAAGATACCATCTGCTGTAATTAGCTTTAGTGTAAGCAAGCCAATTGAATGTTTGGGTTTTAATTGTAGACTCATTTTATTGTGCTGACCTCTAAATACTTGACAGAATTCAAGACTTTAGTGAGAAACAGCATCTACATCAGGAGCTGGCATAAAACACTGAACAGCATTCATCCTCTAATCAATTCTTCCCAGTTTGTTCCCCTGTTTCCATGGAATTTAAGCACAACATTAAACATTGATATCTTTGGAAACAAGCACAGAGTTGTTGAATGTTCTGTGTTGATTGATTCGCCCAAACCTATTGGTTTGTGCAACAGCAGGAATCCAGATCACATGATGCGATAGATTTGGACTGATTAGTACTTAGATGGATAAACACTATATAAGTTACGTTGAGTACCATGGAGGAAAGGTGAACTATGAATTAAATGTTTATGTTTGATAGGGTTGCCAGGTGTCCACTATTTGAGTGGACAGTCCACTTTTTTCACATTATGTTCACTATTTTTTTTCACAAAATAGTGGACATTTTTTAATTCAAAAGCTTTATGATGAAATGGTACGTAATCTAAAGCTGTACAGTCTACTTTTTTTACTACTTAAACCCCCCCCCCCCC